GTGAATGTTGGGCACACAGACAAGGAAGATCTCTCACTTATCACTCATCATGTATTGTTCGCTCTTCCCTTGTCCTGTACGTTTTCCGCTGGAGTTCAACAAGGCAGCAACCTTGGTCTACTGATGTTTGTTGTGCATGCAAATAGTTTTCTTGTTTTTTTCTTGAATTAGGCAACCCAAAAAAATGCAGATAACAGCAGTAAAGAAGCACAATTTCACACAATCTAATGTTAATTTATGGTTAATTTATGGACCTTGATTACTGGCTAGGTGAAATGCATTAAAATGGCGGAGAACATAAAAACCGCATATCAAAACAATTCTGTAGTTCTGATACAAAAGGTCCCATGAGAACAACTAAAATGCTAAATATATATATATATTTTAAACAGATAAGCATTTTTAGAGAAGCAGGGGGGGTTGGGACAACTGTGCAGCTATCCTCCAATACATATGAAAATAATACTCCACAATTGAATTTGTTGTCAAATTAGCTGCAGTTTGTATGAGGTGGTCCAATAAACCCAGGACACAAAGTCTGGGCTGCAATCTGGGCTGCAATCTACACTAAACAAGGCAGCTACAGAAAAGAAACATATGAAAGAAACATAAGACCCTGTATAATCAAATTGAACTGGCATCTCTTTCACTTCTACTTGTACATGTGGGTGGCAGTCCAATGTTTGGAACCAGGCTGAATACAGTGAACATATTTTATTGGCTTTAAAAATGTACATGTCAGCAGGCCCCATTTAAAACAGCTGTAGGATAGGAACAGAAATGAGCAGACAGAGCTTTATCTAAAGAATTATGAAACATTGATCAATAGAGTACATACATGCAAAGAGTTTTATCACACAACTGAACAAATCAAGCCTCCGCCATTTCAGTGTTGAGGTGAGATGAAGGTTTATGAATTAGAAAACCCACATGGAATATTTTTAGCCCTGCATGGCTTCCCTCAGAGTGCCAAAGCTTGTCTGCAGCTGTCTTCTCTCTCAGGGAATATGTGAAGGTAAAACAGAGTCATCTCAGGCTCACACAGACAAAAAAAACTAAAAGATGAGCTTGTACTTCATGTGCGAAGATGAGTCACTGCGACTGGACCTTTTTAGAAGAGGTCTATGGGCTGGACCACCGCACCACTTTGTCACAGTCATGGAACACATAAGTTCAAGTTGGCGTTGACCTGACAGAGAAATGTTGCAGCTTTATAGAATGACAGATTCATTCATCAGCCAGATGAAGGGGGATGAAGGTCTAAAATAATAATGATGTGGGTGTGTCTGGATTCTCTGTGGACTACAGTCACTTTTTATTACTGTGATGTCAGTTAAAGCCTCAGGCACACTTAATTTGAGCCCCTGAGCCTCTCTGAGTCATACCTGTCTCATTTTCACCTGTCTGAAACCATAGTGTTCCAGTCCCATCACAAGAGAAGTGAGCTAATACGTTCACAGCAGGTTGGCATGCGAAAGAGCTTTTCTCCTTTCTAAGAAATGACTCGTCTTGGTCAGGTTAATAGCAAAGCGATGGGAAATATATAGAAATGTGTGGCATGTTCAGTGATCTCTTCATTCATTAGATGTTGGAATATTTCACTAAACAATGTCAATTTTAGGAGGAAGTCAGGGTACCACCAAAGTCATTAGGATATGTCATGTGAATGTGTGTGAATGGGTTTTTATAGATCTGTCTACACATGAACACATCTCATGACACATCGACAGATTTTTTTTTTTACACATTCATAAATCTGCGCACATGGATTGAGATAGAGTTACACAATTTACACAACAATGATTTAAATATCAAAAGTCAAATATAAATGTTTGCAATACTGTTTTCAAAATAAAAACACTCCAGCGTTTCTGTCTGAATCCATTCATTTAAAAAAAAAAAAAAAACATTTCTTGAGGAGGAGACACACGTCATACTGTATAGTACTGGTGTTTATTTGAGTAAGTGTGTCCAGGGCCTGACAGGTCAGCTTCTGCATGTTGCACTATGGTTGCACCTACACTGGAAAGACTAGACCCTGCAGTGAGCAGAGAGGCAGACGCACCTGTGAGCATTCAACACAAGTTGTTTTCAAATTGTATTTGGTTCATTTCTGTCTGAATACATAAGCTTACTGCTGTGTGAGAGTGTGAATTGAAGTCGTTAAACTTTTGGACCTGAGGCTGCTCTTGATGTTGCAAAGGGATGCAGCTCTGTACATGTGCTGTCACTGAGTTACTTCCACTGTGAGCTGCCTTTGCAGGACATTTTTACCCACATTGGATGTTTTCATCCTTTCTTTGTGAAATGTCCAAGTGACTATGGTGTCTGGTGTTGTTGACTCAAAATAGAATTAAATATTGAATTCCTTTCATTTTAAATTGAACACTAAGTTAGTTATCTAAATACAAAATACTTGCTCAAGTTTTCAGGGTGTTTCAGCCGATTGTTGTATAAAAGAACCAAACTCATCTGTGATTGAAAAGCACAGGTCAGATGATGGATTCAAGAACATTCCCAAGCTCACTTGATGTCCAGCTAGGCCAATCATCAAGAAATTGAAAGAGCGTGACATAGCTGTAAATCTGCCTGGAGCAGCCCCGTCCTCAGACCCTGAGGAAACAGGCACCAAGGATGTCAGCCAGCGACAGCACCAAGAGACCTTCAACATCTCCGAAGGAGCATGACAGGAGAGGCTCTGGATACAGACACCGGGAAACGGACAGCAGTAGCTTTGTGTGGAATTGGCAAAGAGAAATCCAGTCTAAAAAAAGAAGATATTTTGAGGAAGCTAGGTTCCAGTGAGATTGAGCTTTCTTAGTGTGCGACCTGGGAGATTTGTGTTTCGAGTTCCATGATAAAGTCGAACCTGCGCATTTTTCTGACTATAAAACATTAATGTTAATGTCCTCTGATACCCTCCTCTGGATGGATATCTGCACGGATTAGAGGACACTGTGGAAATGACCTTGTTTCCAGTCAAATTTGAATGCCGGGGCTTACAGACATTTCATGACACCACACGTATGGACCCATGAAAGTACTCACCATTTACTTCAACTGTGCTGTATTTGGCTGCAAAGCTGTTTACCCCCGAGACTCCAAAAGTGTTTTGTGAACTCACACACTTCACCGACCCCTCCATCAGCATAGTGGTGACTAGATGATGACTGAATTTTCAGTTTTAGGTGAACTATCCCTTAAGTTTTCTTTTGCAATTAACCCAATGTTACAAATATATCTCTGATGGCTGACTGATCACTGGCATTGGCTCTGCTGCCCCCTTGTGTTAAACATAAGAAGCACACTGGCAAATACAGTTGTATAAGGTGCTGTTACCTTTCAACGCTATTATACATGTAATGTTGTCACTGAGTGAGTCATTAACACTTTCACATTCATAAACATATAGTGAATCATAGAGACATATTAATTCAATAATACTTTTCCACCAAAACAAAAAATGTCAAATTCTAATGACCACCACTGTTTCATTAAAACGTAGACTATCAAACAATGCTAGAATTGCTAGGTTGAGTTCAAATTTCTAGAAGTACAGAAACTTGTTAGTCATAACAAAAATTTTATTTTTATTTGTTATTTCATCACTCACAGAAATATATAAGGCAGTAAAACCAAAGAAAACAGATGTGTTGGTTAGACATAAAATACAGAAAGTTCTTATTAAATCAACACAGTATTTGGATTGGCTCATCAGACAGAACTGAAAGTGCTGATCATTGCCAATAAATCCTGTCGATAACAAACCTGAATCATGTGAACATGTTCTTTCAACTGAGAGAAACTCAACTAGACAGACAGAGAACAGAGAATAAGTTCAAGGTCTCAGAAAACCATTACACAAATATTACAAAACTTTTTTATGAGGCAGGTCTCGTCAGTGGAGCCAACAGTCCTTTAGGTCAGTAGAGCATAGCTTTTATTACGTCAGCTTTTATTGGGATCAGTCATTTCATTTAAAATTAGCCAAAGTAATGAAATACCTGTATCATAGAATACCTGAGTGCAAAGAGACACTTGTTTCTTTGAGCAACAGTCAAAAGGAAGCCAGGTATTACATTTACTATGATATAAAAACAAAAAGAACTTGTAATTCTCTTTTTAGAAGCTGGCATGTCTTGATGAATGACTTTCAAACTGAAATAAACATTTTTATTATTATTTTTATTATTAACTTGACAAATTAATGAATCAAGTTACAATATATCAAGCTATATTATGGGAATGTCACAGTGTTGTGCAGTCTAGTACAGAAGTGGTTCTGTTTCTAGGGATGATTTTGGCTTAAACTGGTTCAATTGCGCTTTGTCTCAAAAAAAAAAAAAAAATTGTAGAGCTTTTAAAAATTAACCTAACTGTGCAAGTTGTCACTGCATGAAGAAAAGTACAGTGGCTGAGACATCTCACACAAGCACATCAATGGAAAACACAGGTACAGATGCTTGGAGCACCCAAAATAAAGAACACAAAGGTTTTTACTTGATTCCTTCAGGGTGCTTCATGCACCTGTACCAGAACATCTCAAATAGACAAGCATTGCATTTTAAGCTGCAAATAACTTGTCTGGGTTTTAACAAACGACGGCTCACTTGACTGCAGAGAGTAACTCTGTTCATTTCATTGTCAACATCTGTTAACAAAAACACAACCACAACAGAAGTGGGTTGTGTGGCTTCTGTAGTTGTGTTTAGGCTTTTACGTGTGTTACCCATGAATGTGTTGGTGTAAGACTTCTCAGCCACAGTAGAAAGCAGAGTGGTTCATCAAACTGCCTTTACCAAGGCAGAGAAAATAACTCTCCTGTATGTACGTACAGCAGTGATGAGAAATGCATCCAAATGACAGAATGTATGTTAAGTATAAGAGTGTGAGTTCTTGATATGAATAAAAAACACACACACATACCTGTTTTTCCTGCCACCCCATTTCACTTAGTGTATATGTTGTTCCCTAATCCCTCCCTCTCGCGCTCCTCCTCTCTAAAACACTCCAGGAATCAGCCGATAAGGCACAGCATCTGTGTAACGTTTCCAGTCCTTGCCGTACTTGCTGCTGCAGCGGTGCTCGTCGCGCACACAGCGGTGCACTAGCAGGATGGTCATGTAAACGATGTAGAAGTAGGGCAGAATGTGGCCAAAGCCACAGGCAGCACAGTAGGCCAGAGAGCCCATCAGGTCGCCGGTGTAGTTTAAGTGCCGGGCCACGCCCCAGAAGCCAGAGGTCAGGAGCTTGCTGTGGTGGACGCCACCGTCTGCGGAGTGGTACGAGCACTCGATGTACGTCGGCTTGCTGCCCCAGATGGAGCTAGTTCCCTCTGTGCGGCGGAACAGGTCCTTTTGATGGTTGGTGGAGCGGAAGATGTAATACCCGACAAGGCCCAGCAGCAGAACAGCCAGGGCATGGGTGTTAGAAAGCTGGACTGGGTGGTACACCAGGTACAGACCCTGGAGAGAATAGAGAGAGATGTATTTACACTCATTAGTGCTTAATTCATCTTTGGTGTGATGTTAACTACATGCACGAGTAGACACACAAGATTCAACTTCAATACAAATCAACACTTGTGTTTTGCACTGTGATATCATCTAACTCTTAAAGGTACAGTGTGTAGAATTTTGTGATATCTAGTGGTGAAGTTACATGTTGCAGCTGAACACCCCTCACCTCACCCTCTCCTTCCAAACATGAAAAAGAACCTGTGGTAGCTTCAGTTGTCATAAAAACTCAGAAGGTGTTTAGTTTGTCCAGTCTGGACTAATGTAAAAAACATGGCGGCCTCCGTAGAGAGGACCCCCTCAATGTAAATATAAAGTATTTAAATATAAAGGACCTTTTCTGGGGTAAAGAAAACTACAATTCATATAATTTAGATGAAATGAACTAGTGAAATATCATAAGGATTATTCTACATTAAATTTCTGTAGTTCCCGTTCAACTAAATCTTACACACTGAATAACCAGTTTCCCTGGTATCAGCCAGGTATTTACACAAGATGCAGCTGAGAACTAAATATGTGACATGATATTAGGAAAACGATATTCAATAACGTTGTTGAATATTACAATGACAATACACATTGAACACAAACAGTGCCTGGCTACGGACTCAGAGACCATGGACAGCCTTTTTTTTCTTTTACAGTTTTTAGCGTCAGTAACTGACTGCTCCTCTCGTGTCTCTATCAATTGCGCTGTGCGCTGCTCCAACTGCGTCAAACCGGGCGAGCCGCTTCTCTTCCAGCTCTACATACATTTACCAAGTATATTAATTCTGTTGTCTTTAGCTCGACTTGGTTTATACGTGTGTGTGTGTGTGTGTGTGTGAGAGAGAGAGAGAGAGAGAGAGAGACAGAGGAAATAAGCGAGTGGCCGATGAATGCACTGCTCTGAATCTAGATTTAACTCATTAATTAAAGTATTGATTATAATGTACTTATCAGAGAGAGAGAGAGAGAGAGAGAGAGAGAGGGTGAGAGAGAGGGTGAGAGAGAGGGTGAGAGAGTGTCTGTGTTATTACTTTCCAGACTCATGTGACATCAGTGTTATTACTGTGTCTGTATTAACAAGCGTGGGGTATGCTTGTTACCTGCAGTGTGTAGAGGTATGGCAGCCATACACAGTCTCCCCAGCCCAGATACCATCCAAAGTGGTCATGGCAGATGTCAATGGTTTTCAGGTACCACGCCTCGTTCCAGAAGAAATCCAACACATAAATGGCCTATGAGAAACACAGACAGCACAATAATACAGTTATTATGAACTGACAAGTCTACTGACTACCTGAGCAGTGTCCTCCATCTCGATCTTCAACATTTAACATTTGGTGGGAAATGTAAAATGAGCTGGGGAGGATAAGCAAACACTCCACATGTAGGTGCGATACACATAACATTATGAACAACTGGTTGGTTACACATGATTAAGGTCAAAGTCTCAAAGCCAAGATGAGAAGTTCAGATAAAGTTGAGCTCATAGAGTGTATGTAAAGATGGACGTTACAACAGCTCGCTAAAAGTGAAGCCAAAACATCTGCTACTTGTTGTTGGATGGGACATGGACCAAACTAAAAAGTCAAAGTGTTTATTTTTTCCGATAAGTTTGTTTTTAATTTGTTCTTTACCTGCAGTACGTTGACCAGAATCATAGAGTTGGTGACTTGGCCATACAGCTCTTGCTGCTTGGCCATGTAGGACAGGTTGATGAGGGTCCAGGCTATGATGCCGGGCCGGCCGTTGAAGAACAGCTTGAAGTCAAACCACTGGCCGATGCGTGGGTTGAACTCGATGCCCATCATGTAGTTGTAGAATATGTTCCCTGTGAACTTGCTGTCAAAGTACAAAGTAAACAGGGAGGAAGACAAGTGGATAAAGTGATGTGCCAATTCAAAGTAGTTTAAAGATTTGATCAGATATTGAGGAGACAGATTCTTATTTGATTGTTGTGAGTGCTTAAGTCACCCTGACTTATCAGCATCAATACTCACCAGTCCTGAGAGTTGGTGGGGAAGAAGTGGGCCTTTATGAAAGCAAAGGTAGCAACAGCATAGCCCAGTATGTTGGTACACCACATCAGAGGGATCCAGTTGTCAAAGATGATGGTGGGAGAAAACCAATGGAGATAGTGGGCATTGACAATCCACAGGGCATGAGTGATCAGCCAGCACTGCAGCCCATTGATCTCATACTTGTTGATCAGGCCTAGGAAACAACACAGGGAGGTGGATTCTTAGAGCTATTAGCTAAACACTGCTTTTATAATAATGTCAATCATGTAATTTGTATTAACAAATGTTTTACTACAACAATATTTGATCAGCCAAAATCCACAGGTTACTCAAATATATATATGGAACATACTTCTCTTCAGCATAGGAACTTATAACCTTGTAACAAAAAAAAGTATTCAAATCAATAATGCGTGCATGAGGAGGCTGCACATAAATGTAGAATGCAGGCATTTTAGTTTTAGCATCGCTACAACTCTGACTATTAGACTTCTCATCCATCCGGGTGCTTAAACTGAATATACAGAGATACTTTGATGAGAGTTATCTGCTGCTCTAGAGAGAGCAGATACTGTAATGACTCAAATATAACTTAGTATAGACACGTGTGCCAAGACACAGACATTCATTACTGAGTGTTGTACTGTGGGTTGTATGTAGCTTATTTATGTTGCTCGGTCAGCGAGTATTTTCAAGTAAGTCTGCCAGTTTATCAGAGCTTGTCTGATCCAGTTCCACCTGCAGTCACTGAACGCTCCTGAGTGACGAGTGCTTCGCGTCTCCTGACGTCTTTACTGCGAAAATGAACCAGACTGCAGACAATATGTCAAACTACGTCTGCCACAAACTATGAGCTCAGAAGGTCGGAGGTCACAGATGTTTATATTTGTAGAATCTGTCTGTTCATAACCGTGACAAATACAGGATATTTTTTCCCAGTCACAGGCAAGTGAGGTTTTTATCCTTGACAGACGCGTACACTCTCCAAGCCTCCCTCTAGTTAAAACATATGTTGGACTGATCAGCATGGTTCATGAGTGTTTATTACCAGCAGGAGTTCGTGCTCCATCCTGCACTCCACCAACATAGCCAGGAGTAAACTTATGGACGACATCGGGAACACACATGTACAGGAACACCTGACGGACAAACAGAGCTTGTTTTAGCTCATTTGCATTTTGGTTACAGCAAGGTCCACTCTGTGTCTTTTACCACCATGCATTGTCAATTTATTCTTTCCCACATTGAGCTCACTCTTGTCTCTTACCTGGAAGGCCACCCAGATGGCATATATCTTGGCAGCTGTCCAGGTGAAGGAAGGTGAGTGGGCCCAGACGGAGAGCAAGGTGGCCTCTCCCCTGTACAGATCAACCAGAGGCTGGCTGATGGAGCACTGGTACTGATCACACGCCATCACAAAGTAAAACACGATGAAGGGGGCAAAGCAAAGGAGGAGGATCACGGAACTCAGGGAAAACCAGTCCACCTCCCTGAGGACGAGTCACAGAACAACAAACAAATACAGTGTAAAGACAACGTACTGAACAAATGAGCACAACATTTCAGTTTGAATCCATCGCACAAAAACACATGTGTGTTCGGGAGGCACTGTGTATTAACAGAACCTTGTTACACCGGACAATTCTGACCGTAATAATGTTAGTACACCTCTGTTGCCAGCTTTAAGTAAAAACGCTAACCAGTGATAAACAGAGATACAGCAAACTTCAATGCTTTTTGAATTGTAAACTATTCGATGAAGTACTATTAATATTGGGTTTATATTTATTACCACCTTTATAAAAAAAATCTACTTGGATTGCTTATTTTGTTCATAACACCACCTAGTGTTTCAAACCATCTTGGATTGTTTGACACTTAAGTAGAGTCAACAGTTTGGAATGTCTCTGTTTCATGACATTCATATATATTTTTGAAAGGTTTACACCAGGGTGGGCGTTACGATTTCAACTGAAAAGACAAACATTTAGTAAATGGTAAGAGAGAATAAGAAAAGTAGTTCAGTTTTAAAGTGAGTGAGTGAGTGAGCATAACAATATAACAATCCCTATAATTACTTCCATGTACTTTTTGCTCAATTATTACAATATCATGTTGCTTAATACTTTGTGTGAACCCTTTGGCTGATGCATTTTTATCAGTATCATATCAACCCACCATGCTCTCCCCCACTGTGCAGGCTGTTCCTTGTCTCCAGATGTTTTCCCGTTGGCAGTAGGCTGAGTTCGCCTCCTGGTGGCCTCCATGGCCACTCCACCGTTCATCTCTGGTGAAGGAGACAGTTATCAGGGTGAGTTATCAGTTTTGCATGGCACACTGCACTTTGTACACTTAAACCAGTGCAGCTTTCACCAACAATACTTCACCAGGTAACAGGTTCTGGCAAAATGAAGGATAAAATGGATGCTATCTACACCTTTTTTCACAGAGTCAGGGAAGTTCTGTGAGTGTACTCCTTGAAAAAATACTACGAGTCTATGTCCAAAAAAGAGCAGCTGGATGAGGCTCACACATACAACTGAATCTGGGCATACTGATACCACGATATTTGACATGTATTAACTGAAACACATGCAATCGCATATACATGCACACACACTCATAGTATATAATGCAAATGGGTCTCCACATCTGCATATCGTGAATATGTGAACATTCTAAAGTTCTGTTGAACATTTGCTGTGAACAAAGAAACCATCCGTCAGCCTGAGCACACATGTACTCCTACATCCCCTCAGGATTGTCTGTCACGTGCAGAAACCTATTCTCCTTCTCTCAGCTGGATTCATTAATGAACTAACCACCGGGAACAAAACAAGCGACGTCCTGTTTCCTGGAACACAATGTCTCCACATGTAATACTAGTGCACACACATAATACTAATACTAGTACACACACATAATACTAATACTAGTGCACACACATAATCCTAGTACTAGTGCACATGTTGAGTGTGTAGTATGATGCAGCCTGTGTGTGGACGCTCACCTGCAGACTCTGGCTCGGGCTGCTCGTCTCTTCGGGTGCAGCAGCTTCTACCTCATCACACAACTGCAGCCTGCACGCTCCGCCCATAACGCCATTGCGTATTACACTTCAACCAATAGCGTGCCGGCAAAGGCGGGCCCGGGGAGCCGTGTCTGGCCTGTGATTGGCTGCACCTGACTGGAGCCACCTCACAAGGTTGCAGGGTTGGTTGAGTGACTGTGGAGACATTATGAAAGTCCTCACCGTCATCACACACATGAAGTCACTGTCCTGCAGAGGAGAGAAACAAAAATCCGTTTTAGATTACATTTTAAATTAAATATCTACGTAAGGTGTCCAAACACTGACCTTAATAATAGTGATAATACTAATACTACTACTACTCCATGTACTACTACTGATAATAATAATAATTTTAGATTGTTATGTTAAGGTCAGTAAAAATGCACAAAGACACATAGAAATGAACTGCCATCTTTTGCTGAATCCCATTTTCATCCATGGCAAGTAATCCAGAAACACACACACACACACACACATATATATATATATATATATGTGTGTGTGTGTGTGTGTGTGTGTGTGTGTGTGTGTGTGTGTGTGTGTGTGTGTGTGTTTAGGAAGAAAAGAGTAGTATCTAATTTATCTGAGAAATGTTTAGAGGGATTTTCTGGCCACCTCAAACTAGAAACACACAATATCCACAAGTTCATTCATGACCCAGAGCACATACCTTTAACACAAAGCACCAAAAGGTCAGTGTGAGGCCCAGTGGTACTTTTCCGTCTGGTGCTGTGAGTTCTGATGCAGGGTTAGATCAGTCCACACAGGAGACTGAATGAAATGAAAGTTATATCTGTCATTTAGGATGAGCACTTTTTTACTTTACTTTTTTATTCTGCACCACTCAGATAAATACATCCAGTGACTGGTTCTGTTTTCAGCTGCATGTACTCAAGGTAACCACTAGAGGGCAGCACGGTGACGGAAAAAAGGTGCTTGCATAAGAGGATTTTTTTCAACCGCTGCACAAGTGAAGTGACAAAAGTTAAATTCTGTGCAACACCAGCACTACCTCTTCATATGGAAGGGGCGTGCACAGAATCTGCTCCTCGTTCAATTGTATGTTTACGGAAATATCTGAACTCTGGGTACATTCTACTGGAGGAGGCTGGGAGTCAGTGCTTCCAGATGATGCCTAAGTAGAGGACATTTTTTCTTATTTGAAAAATTCAGTTTCTCCATAACATGCATTTCTTAAAAAAAAAAGAGTTTTAACAAAGTCTTGCATAAGGTTTTCTGACTTGCTTCCTAAATTATTTTAAACAAATGTTATTTGCAGGTCAATGGGCAGGTTGATATGAGTGGGATCCTAATTTCAAGTACACTTTAAATAATCTCATGAATATTCTGCCAAACAGGAAGAATTACATTCCAGTCTACATGAAACAACACGGTTATTGTGTTTTCAAGAGATGGATTCTTGCAGCAAACCTTAAGAAAAAAGACTAAGTGCAGAAGTAAACCACCATCGGGAGAAAATAAAAATAAACCACCACCAGTGTTTGAATATAATTTAATTGTTTAATATAACAATTAAATGGCTGTTCAACCTTCCATTTACAGAATTTCTGAACATTTAAGAAACACCTGCACTGTTAATCTTATTGGATCACCTGTTTTGTTGATTATCTAAATCTGTAAATTCTCAATATCCTTCGGACTGAAAAATGTGAAATATGTATACATGTGTCTGTGTGTGTGTGTGTGTGTGTGTGTGTATACATATGGAAAGGGGCAGTTCTGTTTATTTTTACATCCACCTTTGGAATGTGTTGAAATATGAACAGTTGATTTGGGGTATTTTCTTTGCACTAAACTGCCTCTAATATCAGGTGTGGGGATAAATTCCTGTCTCATTACTCGTGGCTTTTTGTGCCAAGTTAGACATTCCATCATTGAATTATCCCTTCATGAAATCAACCCCAAACTCCTTCTGCTGGAATGAAACGTAGCTGTCCCAATGACTGATGGTGAAAAGGTTTAAGTATAACCTACTTATATATCGATTAAATCAGTCAAATGAAATAAGACGGAAGAAATTTGTCCTGATTTCATTCTTCCCTAAATGAGAGCTCCTCTTCAGCCTCTTGAAGCGTCACCCCACATCATCAAATGGCCTCTATCTCTCTCTCTGTTATTTGTCTTTTATTGCTCTTTAAAAATTCTGCTTTTTCTGTTTTAATCTCGTTCCCATTTCCTTCTGCAATTCGTTGTGTTTTTGTTTTCCACCACTTTTCTGTCTGTCTCCACAGTCTCTACTTTGTTCCTCTTCTCCCCTTCCTCTCTCCTACCCTCTTTGATCAGATGCCTTGTTGCTGCGCTGTATCCAGACACTGTGATGTATCTGGGCCAAGCAGCAGACGGCACTGCTATATACAATGCGTAAGAGACAAAGAGGAGATTTTGTGCTGTTGCTACCTTGTGTTACCTTGTGAATCTTGATGTGGAAAAATGCACACATCTGCTTGTTTTAATGAGTTTTGTTAATCTGGTTGAGATTTTGGGATTCCAGTAGATATTCCCGATTGTTATCCTACTCCATATGAATCACAACACGACGTCTGCAAAGAGGAACTCACACAGATGTCTCAGTTCTTTGTCACTGCTTAGGTTTAAAATGCACCACTTCTTTAAAATCAAAAACAATAAACTGGATTAAAACAGCAAATGATTAAGAATGTATTGGGATTAAGCAAAAACACATTGCGGTCCGGACACAATAAGACGAACATAGTAAATATAGTTTAACAAAGTAAATGAGCGTGGGAATTTAAAAACACTGGCATTGCAACAAGAGGAGCAGACAAGTTCTCACAAACTGTGCATGTGTGTATGTAGTGTGTGAAATTTAAGTGTAAATTAGACAGTATCCATTCACTCAAGTAATATCTGAGTTTAATGAAACAGTGAAAGTAGCAGACAATGATTTATGATTCAATAACATTTTTATTTCATGGTTTGGATGATTAATTGACCTCATATCCATTTAAATTCACACATAGAGGTGCTTTCAGAGCAGAGGTTTGGATCTTTCATAACCGGACAAATACAGGTAAAAATAATGACATGCATAGTTTACAGATGTTTGTTTTATTGATTAATTGTATTTATTGTCTCCTGCATTAACTTGTTTAAATTTGCAGTTGTTCTGCATGTACTAATGTATTCATGTCTGTGAAGCATCTTGTAAACCTGAAAAGTGCAATATAAATAAATTTATTATTTATTATAATCCTCCCTGTAAGCTTTATCTGTGAGCATAAGACCAGGCACAGAACTGAGTAAATGGGCAGTTGTTAATTATGACATTAAATACAACAGTTATTTTCCTACTATAACAGGTCAAACTCTGAATAGGTTGTAAATGCTGTCAGAGGTAAAGAGCAAAACATCTGCATCCGCCTTTATGAGCTCCACCAAGGAGGTCATGCTTTAACCCCCTCACCATTGGTTGGTTGGTATATTGTTATCAAGATAACAGAAAAATAACTGTCACCGAACTTGGATGTGATATGGGTCAGTGAAGAGGTCATTACATTTTGGTGCAGATCCGGAACCGTGGTGCTGAACAGAATGATGTCACACAGGCTCAATCTAATGCTATGTATTTAATAATTAATGTTTTTTGTGCAATATTCAAAAATATAACTTAGTCAATGGCTACACAGCATCTTCTGCTGTCTTCAGGCATGTGATTCTCGTGTGGTGACACTGACACTACTGCCTAAAAATGACAGTCGCATTGAAAAGCACTGTGGAAACTTTAACTGAAATTAATAACTTTTCCCCATAAACAAATAGGAAACACATAGACAACATTTAAAACTCTTTCTTAACTTGCATTAAATCTTTGTTCTGCCCCTCATATATTTGTTCTGTTTAACCATGTGATAGCACCACCTTGTGCTAATTCAGGTACATGACCACATCCCAAAAATTATTCTGCAGCAAATCGGCACGGGACCTCTTACCAGCCAGTCCGGTAGTGATCTCTGTGGAGCCGTGGCGGGTTGTCTAGGTGGGCTACATCACCGATGATGATATTATAATCTGTTCTCCAGCAGAGAAGAAAGCTATCGATAAGATGATAGATTCTGGTCCTCAGCTAGCTTTTAATAAAACATTAAAATAGATGACGTTAAGCCAACATTGTATTACCCACACAAAACCTTTCCCCAAACACAAGCTGCTGCTTCTGCCTACACTATGCCTCATCACACATCACAGGCTCCTCAGCATGGTGGATTAGCAACGCAACAGAACATCACTGAGCAGTCCCCAGTCCCTGACCAAAGAACACCTAATAGAGCTAGGTGTTATCAGCCCCAAACAACTAACGATCTAGCAAAATATCTCGCACACATAGTGACCTCAGGCCTCACCGCATTTGATGACAACAAATGAACAATTGAACTTGGAAAACATCTTTTCTGACTTCTATTGCTGGTTTAGACCTGTCTGCTGGAGAAGAACTTGACCTGCTAACCAAGTATCTGGGAAAAGAGTCAATAATCAAAGTAGTCAACATCAGACATCCAGGTGCTGGACTGATAATGGCGTGGGATAGACTTGAGGAAATATATGCCAGAGGCTGTTGAACAGGCCCTCTTTACCAAGATAATAACTTCCCAAAGATTATGACGAGAGATCCACAGCCTTGCCTTGTAATTGTGTATCCAGCCAGACGCAGAGAAGAGGCCAAAAAATGTATGCATAGCTGGATTAGCGAAGCAACCGCACCTTGGCACTCTCTTAGTTCTTGGGAGTCTTCAAGATCTCAGGGTCCTCTTACCCGTGCATGTTGGAAACATGTGCTGGACTAACAGAGACAACCTGAAGGAGAGCCTGTGGATTCACCGTAGAGTCAGCAGACAGAAGATTCCACTTTGGGTCAAACCATCTTCACTGCAAACGACCATAACTTGCCCCATCAGTGGAGGACATGAAGTTTCTCCAGATCATGGAAGCTGCGTTCCATCAAGACAGCTCGAACAGCTGGGTGGGACGACTGGTATTCA